TGGATCGAGGAGTCTGCCTTTGAGCTGTTGTCCCCGAAAATCATGAAACTGCATGGAAACAAACTGCGGCAGCCTCAGAGACCCTGGGTTGGCACAGCACGCTGAAGCCAGAACAGACAGGTGGGGCCAATCTCATGATCATGGACATAGGACTGGGGTTGTGACAAGATGATTCCATCAACTGCTTCGAGCACCAGCACCTTTGCATTGTAAGAAAAATCCCCACACAGAAAGCCAGCAGCTCCTTTTCTTGCTGTGGGAAAACCTCCTTTTACTCCCCAGGTTGGGAAGACAAACGTTTGCGACCATCGGCGGCCAATGGCGTGTGATGTGGGTGAAACTCCAATGGTTTGCATCCCCTTCAGCACTTTGAAAAGGGGCACGTAATGCCAATCCTGTAACGGCGATTCTGCTGTTGCTCTCCGTCCATTGGTATGCCGAGCAGGCCTGTTTGAGAGGCCTGCAGCGGCAGACCTGAACGGCCGCCGTTCACCGGGCCAAACGCCGTTCAGAGGACATGGTGAAACTTCGAGACATGAAAGACCGGCAGAAAAGGATCGTCTGATCCACTGATGTTATGAAAAGGATCGTCTGGCAATACGCATCACTTCACCACAAAATGTTCGAAAAAAAGAAAAAGAACAAACACTGCGTCTAAAGGTCTTCGTATCTTGTTGTCAATTTCAGGTGAGACATGTCCTTCGGATTTCAAATTACGCGAGCAGCTCCGAGGCTCCAAGCCTGATTTTGGTGTCAACAAGGTGCAACCAACAAGGTGTCAAGGTGTCTTGGAGAATCTATCAATTCACCACACCATTGCAGGGTGATGCCTGGATGATTGGCACATCCATGGCTGCAGAAATTTCGCCCTGAAGCATCATCGCTTTGGCTTTCAGGGCTCGGCGGGATCCATCAAGCACGGCCAATCCCAAACAGCAATCTTGCGCGTCCGCGGGGAATGCTGTGCTCGACTGCTGTGGGTCTCTGGCAACAGAGGTTGGAGTTACCTGTTTCTGTCATTGATCTAAAGAAGAGACCTGAAAATGTCAGTCGCACGGCCAAAACTGACTCTTCTGTCTGCGATCCTTAAAATCAGGCCACCATGGCACATCACAAAACTGAGACTCAGGTGGATGAGCGATTAGGCACTGCAAACAAAGGCGATTCAAGACCAAAAGGGTAACCAGCTCTGCGACCAATCTCCTCACTTTTTCAAGTTACAAGTTGGTCTGAAACCATCCAGATTCAGCCTGTTCTGCCACCCAACCTACAAACCACCGTTGTCTCGCTGTCTCCGTTCCTGTACATCAAGCACACAGCCTGCGAAGAAACTCCTGGCAGCCTTGCAGCCATGAGGATCTTGGTAATTTCTTGTTTCTTCTCCTTTCTAGGTGGGAAACCGGAGCCTCCCCTGCAAAATGCGATGGCACGATGCGGCACGGCCTCTCTGTCAACCACGAAAAGACTTGGGGCTGCTAAAATAAAGATGCGGCCATGCAACAGGCCATGCAACAGACCTTTGACTACGGCCCAGGAGGTTTCTCGTATCACCCATGTGGAAGTTCCAATGTATGTGGAGGCTGGTAGAGCTATTGCCACCACTGCAAGTGCAGGTATTTGCAAACAGGCCCTGATGGCTGTGATCAGGTCCGTTCTGCGAGCGCTATGGTGGTGCCAAGCTCATTAAGGTGTTCAACAAAGCCAAGATCTCCGCAAACAAACATAACAAAAACGATCTCTTCGTTTGACATGCCCGGAGTTGCTAATTCTGCTTGGAGGCTTGACACATAGTGCTGAGGCAGTCAACCTTGCACGAGGTCCTGAATCTACGCGAGCTCTGTCCTGCCTGATCTTCTTGTACTCCCCAGGGCAATCAAATGACAAACAGGCTGCTGAACATGTTTTTTCTTGCAAGCAGCTTGCTTTCAGCTTGCTTTCCATCTGATTGCAGGTTGTACAAGAGGTCAGGCGGCATTCCATTTACTTGGGTTGTCAGCATGTCCCGCATGATTGATGAACTTGATTTGATTTGATTTGCTCTTTGATCATGAATGAAGTTCTGGCATGCTGACGGACCCATGGCCACAGGACGGTCTGGGCAATCTGACCTCCAACTGTCGCATTGAATCAACTGCGAAAGTCGCAAGTAACAAAGATCTCGTCTGACCTCCCCGTCGCGACTGACTCCATGAGACAAAATATGAGGTCAAACGGAGTCTAAAGATGTTGTCTCTTTCCTGTCCCTCCTTGCCCAGAGGCATCTGCGGGCCCAATGCGGGGAATGCTGGGAGGAAGACCAAAGTAAGGACTAAGACTATTCCTGTGTACGGTGCCATCCAACACATCCACCTCCCAGGCAAAGACTATCGAACACCAAAGAACCCTCAATGCTGCAAAAGCAACCAACATTCAGTCAGTATTCTACTGTATTACGCCCATGATCCCTGTTGTCATGAAGAAACTATCTGGCTGTAGCTCCTTTACGAGAAGCCGATAAGTGAGAGTTTATGAGTGAGTTTGTTTAACAAGCGTTTTCCAGCAAGCCGCTACGAACATTGGGCTGCAATGTTCTGAGCAGACCGTTGGAAAAGCACGTTTGCCCCGCCACAACGGCAACAGTACAACTTTAGTAGGACTTTGTGCCACCTCCTAAACCGCTAGAACAAGAAAGTGTAGGGGCACCTTCAAGTACAGCTGACCAGGTGAGCAATGTCGATGCCAGTGCTGAATGCAGTGTGTGTGTGTGTGTGTGTCAGCTGCCCTTCTATCAACATTGACCACTACCTTCGTCAATGTGTAAAGAACTGCACACCTGGTCAGCTTTTCGAGTATCTACTGCATCTACTGAACTTGACGCAAAGGCATAGGCAGGCCATTCTTGGCATTTTGCCTGCACCTCACAACAGAAATGAAGCACATGTTTCACTGCTGATTGAAAGTCCATCCAACCTTGACCTGAAGACACCTGCTCAAACAATAAGAATCTCTTAGCAAAATAGATTTGATGTCAGAATATCACAATATGGACATGAATCTCACATGTGAAGCTTAGGATTGTTCAAAGGCCCACCACCTTCCAACTCGCCGTCCGAGGCGCCGCAAGACTCGGCCGTGGAAGGGTTGCTCCCCCGCAGGAAAGAGCTGACCAAAGGGCAGAAAGGCATCCTGAGCTGCAGCTGCCCAGGCTGAAGCGGGCCGAAGCGGGCCGAAGGCTGAAGGGGATTTACTAGAGACAAGGTGGCATGGTGACAGGCTGAGCTTGGCACCACTGGATCAGATCTCATGGGTAGGTCAGCATAGAAGAAGTTGTGCCGATGCCAAATCCTGGCTTTAAGACAGGGGATTCACATTGGAGCCAGTCCTTTCTTGCACATATCATCTAGTCATCTATATCGTATTCAAGAATATCTTACTACTGAGATTCATCCTCCACCTGATAACCATTTGGATACAACCATACGTGGTCGAAAAGCCAAGGTGGTCTAAAAAAAAAGTCGACTTTGCCTGAAGCCAGCCTCATCTTCTCGATGGGAAATGGTCCTTGAATGTTCCCGGCAGGGTCGATATACCTGTGATGGATCTGTGACGCCTGGTTCCATCATCAGACCCTCTTCTGGGACCACATGGACCTCGAATACTACAAATCAGCAACCGGTTATTTTATTGACGAATACAGTCCGTTCTCTTGGGATGTTGACAACTTCATGGGCGCACTGCCACCCGTTGTCCGGACATGGGGCCATCTTTACCTCCTTCTTGCCTCCAGGGTATCCACCTGCCAGAATGGATTCTGACACAGCAGGTAGGACGGGGCTTGGATGGGCATCCGTCGTGCAGCTAACTTCCAAGCAAGCAGCGCAAGCACTACCTAAAATGTACCTCATGTCACCCCTGAAGTAGAAGACACAACTTGAGAAGTTCATCACACTACAAGCACCACGAACAAATGGCAGGAGGTCAAAACCTCGAGTTCTAAACCCTGGTAGGTTGACCTTCCTGGCAATCTGTTTCTGTTCATGTTCAACCACAATGATTCCGTGTGCTGGTGTGAACACCAAACAGCGTATAACTGCGCAGCTGACGGCATCTTTTGCCCAGTATGTCACACTCTCGGTCCGACTCACGCGACTCAGCAGTCGCTCTCGTCCATGAGCTGTGTCAACTGGCCAAACTCTGTGACCTGAACCTGAAGAAGCGGAAGAGAAAGCCTGTCTTTGAGCTAAAAAGCCGAAGCTGAGCTCAAACGAAAAAGTTGCGTCATTCTGCGTGACTTCAAAATCCTCTGAAGAGTCTCATTTTACTAGTTTACTAGGAGCAAGTAGCTACTAGGGGCTCCTGGCATCGCTACTAGGAGCAAAGGACGCTACTAGGGGCTCCTGGCCATACTACTAGGAGCACGTAGCTACTAGTAAGTAACAACAAGTGCCTTACTAGTAGTAACAAGGTTCGCTACTCGCCTCATCCAACTCTCCGTTCGCATCACGCCACCACGCGAGTCTCGGGTCCGCACAAAGTCAAAGTTCCAGCGATTGGGCAGCCCCGCGTGGGGGAAGCCGGGCCAAAGCTCTGTGCCTACGGAATGTTCCCCAAAGTCAAACCTGAACACAAACCTGAAGGGAAGCACATGGAAGAAACCCTCGCTAAGTGCTTCTCGTTCTTAATGTTTCGATGTGGACTAGAAAAGAGAATCCTGCAGGGCCGTGGTTGGTTCACCTGCTCACCGGGTGCTTTTCTTCGTGGCCAACACCCGACCACGAGGTCCTCTACTACACGGAACTCTGGTTTTGGTACTCAGGAGTGAAGGGTGGTAAGCTTCACGGATATTTGGGAAGCGGGCATAGATTGAATAGACGGCAAAACAAAATTGACTCGTGCTATTCAATTGATTGAAATTGCTCGACTGACTTCGCTATTAGCCCCAGCACAGCAAGCAACAGAAAATAAACACTACTGCTAGTTGGATCTTGACTTCACATCACAAAAGGCTCAAGCGTCAACCCCTATAAATGCAAGCAGTCTAATGTCCAGTCCCCAGAAGCACCATCATCTGCAGTCCACTGGAAGGGCGTTTGCATTTGGTGGCCTTGGTTTTGGCGCAGGTCCGTCTTGCGACAAACGTCCTGCAGTCTGCTGCTAGCCAGTCTGCGAGCTAGGGCTCCAACTCGGGCTGCTGATCACCTGTGCCTGAAGCTTCTTCAGCAAGCAGCGATTCACCACCTGCAATACTCAAGGTTCAAGACTCCAAGGTCTTGTCTAGATGGTCCTAGGTATCTTCGGTACCTCAAGTGCAAGACACCTTCTTGATTCATTCAATAGACGTCGCTTTGTCTGTGCCAACAAGAGAGTTCTTGAGGGGAGAAGAAGGGCAACTGGAGCAACTGCCCTCGCCTTCGCATCGATACCACCGTTGGGAAACTTGAGAATGGGACTCAAATCCATACCTGCAAACAGCAAACGGGCAAAGACCATCAAATTCTGAAAACGGGCAACTCCCAACTCCCAAAACACAAATTCGTTGTGGTAGACACTGAGTCGCCCGCGTGCGGAGATCTGATGCCCTGGGTCACTAGGAGCAGCACTTGCCGGATACCTGTGAAAACCAGTTGCATAGCACGACATCGGGATTGGTAGGCCAAGGATGAACTTGCAAAGTGTGGAAAGAACTGTGTGCGTCTCTGGGAGCACGTGTTTTGAGTCATGACACTCCGCATCTCCTGCAAGGCCTTGGGAAATAAAGCAAGAGCCAAAGGATAAAGGTATCCAAACTCAAGTGGGCCCATTCCCACTCGCTGTTTCCGTAGAGCCATTTAGAGCTATTGGCACAACAATCACATTTCAGTCAAACTCACCGGCATGTATTCAAGTCCTCAAGTACCGTACATTGATTGTAGGCGCTGCTAGTTGAAAGGCCACCGAGCGAGGATTGCCCTGGCAAAGCGTGAGCGAAGCGTGAGCGAAGCGTGATTGAGTTGCCCGGCAACAAATGATCGATGCCACCCCAGTCTGTACAGAATTGTAGCATCCCATGGTTGCTGGCATGTGATCCAAATGCTGTCGCTCGCCTGATACGAATAGAGTGCACCATGCGTGCGCTCGGCAGTGGTAAAGCCTTTGCTTGGAGGATTCCAGAGATTCTTATGTGTGACATGACATGTCTTGATTTGGATCCGGGGCATCTGGGACAGCTCAGAAAGCCCTAAAGTCGAGGCCCTAGACTCTTTCATCGGACTAGTTCGATTTTGACACTCACTCCAGGACTCTGGCCAGAAAGCTCTCGAGTCTTTGCAAAGAAGGGTCGATTGAAGGATGCCCAGTACCTTCGCTTCAGCTTCAGAATCTAATGCAGCAAGATCATTTCTGATCTCAAGTCTTTTTCAAACACACGACTTGCGACGTTGCAGGCTGTTTGACACAAGGAGACATGCGGATGAAAACTTTAAGATATTATAATACGCAAGTTTTGACGACAATCAGTCACTTCTTGGCAGGAGGTCCTTTTGACCCTACCTCCGGAAGTTCCTGAACATCCCTTCTGCTCAAGATCCCATCACCCCTTGCCTGTTTTGCCGCAAGTATGCACTCATGTCCTGTGCAAGACGCCGTGGGAGCTGAGGCATTGCGACTAAGCCTTTGAAGACAAAACTTCCTAAGCTGCAAAGGGCCATCGCTTCGCCTTGAAATTGCATTATAGGCCCCTTCAAACAAAAAAACAGAACACGACAAAGGACAGCCTACTTGCCCGGGCGCACCCGCATCTCTGAGACTCCAGGAATCATTTCCACCACCCAGAAGGTGCTGTCAGGCAACTGGCAGCACGGCATCTTGAGGCACAGCACCAAGGATATAAGTATAAATAAATATATATATATATAGTATACTTGAATCTACATGACGCAGTCTCAATGCGGCTTAACTGCTTCTCTCCGCCAGAAAGTTGTTACCGTTGTGGACATTCTGTTCCTTACCTGGAACCTGCAGACCTGCTAAACACTCTGAGGTTTGCACCGGTTTGTTGTTCTCAAACCTTGCTTCGATCGGTGCCATACAGCGAGAATCGCGTGAATCGAGAGAGTGAAGAGGAATCGCAGCTAGGCCCAGAGCTGGTTGTAGTCGGAGACCATCCACTGCGCAGCAAACGTTCCGGTGTTGGTCTTGGAGAAGAGTTGCACCTCGTCGCGCGCAACACGTGCTTGAGATGGGGGGTGGTATATAGCTAGTAGGTAAGCAGAGGGTGTCAAAACTTCAGTGACAGGATTGATCAAAGTATGTCAGAAAAATGCTCAATTGGATCGAAGCCGAGCGCACCTCATGAGATGCAGAAATGCATAAGGCATAAGGATTACCCCCCCCATGATCAAAAATCTTTTCTTCGAGCCCGCGATCCACCGCAATCCACTGGCATCCACCGGCTCAAAAAGAAGATACATTTTTGCTAAAGCAAGGAGAACTCAGGTAGCTGAAGCTACCCTTTCGTGGCAAGGAGCCACTTCTACAGAAATGACTTGTGGCGAGGATACTGTGCGCTGCTTTCACAACACAGTAGTTTTCCTGCAATGTCAGTGTAGCAGTTTCGACTGCACGTGCTGTTCCTTTCGAAACTGAGCTTTGGACCCAATCGGCTGCAGACTTTGCAAGCCGGTTTACAGCCATGAGGTGCATGAAATTCCTCGCCCAGTGCTTAGGCACGCTTGACATAAGTAGAAAGGGAGCACAACCAGGAAGACCCCCTTTAACTAAAGGAGGAGCCCATAAGCTGCTGCCAGCATACGGGATGCTGCGAAACCGCGGGAAGTCAAGGACCCTCGGCAAGGCAATCAACTGAAGACACAATCAATTTGGGTACTGAATCTAAGCGTATAGTATAGTGTCTTTGAGAAAATAGTGCTTGACATAAAGTTGATCATATCAAAGATAGATTTCAATGTTTCGGCCATCTTGCCGTGATTCACGTGCATGTAAGTCTACTTCACTACTGACAAAATCAGATTCAGTCCTTCACAAATAGCTCGATAGTTCTCAGAGCGTGGCTTGTCCCAGACATTGGCATCCAAGACAACAAGAGAGGTTTCCATAGCTACAAGACCTCATTGGCAGCAGAGAGAGAGAGAGAGGGAGCCTTGAGGTGGATGAAAGCATCAGAGGGCCGTCGTCAGGTATATAGCAAAACTATGGCTCTATCTTGGTCGTGTGGACCAGGAGTCTGTTTCGCCATGTTCCACAAGACCAAGTTTTCCTGCCACTGTTGAGCATGTAGAAATCATCTGTGCCTCAAAAGGATCCATCAGCAGGCGAAGGAAAAAAGAGGAGGAAGCGGTGACAAAAACACAAACCACTGCAAGTTCTTGGTGACCAATCGTTGGGAACGTACTGTTGCTTCAGTATGTTGCGAAAATGAATCTAGCTTCTGTGGCTCAAGAGCTCAGGTCCCAACTAGTCACTGCACCAGGATATGATGAGAATGACATGCGGGTTGCCGACGTCTCGGCTGCAGGCAATGAAAAGTTGTAAAACCTCAGCTGGCTGCACTGGCTTTTATTGCCAAATAGACTCAAGCATCTTCAAAAGGATGACGAAACAAAAGAATCTATAGACTATAAACAAAGGATTTACAATACTATATAATTGAAGTCTGCAGCAAGCATAGGATACGGAAGAAATACAACATATATAGACTAGACGCAACATGTGTCCTCTGAACAACCACATGGTTGGGACCAAGCGTGGATCATTTTCACCAAGGGACTTGAAAATCCTTGTCATCTTGCTGTAGTCATCCCAAGTGGTATGGCCTCATGACATTGCACAGTAGCCACGACGATCCCAACTGCAGCTTTCCTTTTGCCAAAGGTCTGACAATGAGTCTGAAAATGCTCCAAATCATATACACCAGAATGCCTTGTTGCCTTTGCTCAAGACCTCGATGGTAAACCTACAAACCCGTACAGTTGTCTAATGAAAGAACAAATAGAAAGTGCAATAAACCTTGACCGACAAAGAGCTTGCACGTCTATTTTCAAGGTCCAGTGCTCAGGTCACGGCCCATAAAAAGGTCCGTATCTCCATCTCCAAGACGAACCAAAGCAGAGCACCGGCCACTCCTGTGGCTCTTGCTCTACCGGCGACAACCAATGCTCAAAAATGCGCTGCAAACACTCCGACCCACAAATCACATGGAACTTGGCCCCTGAAAAGACTATGTTCCTCCACAAAAGGCGAAGACCGGCATGTCCGGAAATGGTAGTCATAGGTCGTGATCAATCGGGGGAGCATCCAATCACCAGACCAAAAGAAAACCACCAAAACCAGTATGGATCGTCTCGCGAATGTGAGCTGATGGCTCTTCTCTTCTCGACCCCCACCAATCTCTGAGTGGCTGGCTCCATGACCCGGCGCTCCCAATGTAGGTCATCCAGTGGGTCCTCCCAAAAGTCAAGACACAAAGGAAACAAATGATTTGATGTTTGATTCTGTTGCCCAGTCGAAGCTTTTCACCGCACCAAATCCAAAAGGTATGGACTGTCATTGCTTCTTCCTTATTGTTCTTTGACAATTCTTGGACGCACCTGAAGAAATATCACCTTATATAGCGATCTGTCCAATTATTAAAGCTCGAAATCTGCCAAATTCCACCTCCAATCGTCGATTGTGACTGCGCTGCTGAAGAAATGACGGTGCCTCTCACATCAAACAGCGACGAAAACCTGGGAAAAGGGCAAGCTTTCCTCAAGTTACTAGTAGTAAGGATGCTCCTAGTAGCGATGCCAGAGGCATTGGGCTCGAGCCTGCACGGGGCGTGCCTGCAACCTTGTTGTAAGACAGGGTTCGGATCGAGCCATGGCATCCATGCATGTGGAGTTTCTCCGATATACCTTTCGAAGTTCATCCAGCTGGAAGGCCGCATTTCGCTGCCAGATCACTGCTTCACAGACGCTTTTGAGAACTCGTGACTATGCCCTTGTCGAGGTCCTCACCACACAGGGCACAAAGCGTATTTTGAAGGTGAGTCTGGAAGTGCTGCCACACCTGTCTACAAGTCGGCCATGTGTTATGTACATTTGGCACAAGTATGGGTGTTGGCATGCAGGTGTGAAGATGCTACCAGCTGACGAAACAAGTGCAGATGAGTTCATCATGCAGGACCTCCCAGATGTTCCACCGGGAGTCTCCGACCCTGGCTACAAGCCCCAAATTGATGATTTTGAACCCTGGGCTATGGAATTTGAAAAGTTCGATAGGATGTCCGGCTATGGCCTGACCCAGTCAGATCCTTTCGATACAGAACCATGGGTAATGTTGGTCTCCTCTAAGTTTGACACCAACAGCAAGATGATTCATCAAGAGTCTTCAAACAAAGTGGTTCATCACACAGTGTGCCATCATGACACGGACAATCCGCACACAGGAGATCAGGAGGACTTTGAACCATGGGCGCAGGGATATACCCACAGCACCAAGGCTGTTCGGTCCGCGCCGGTATGTGTACACCCATATGACGACCCGCTTGAACCATGGGCGATGTATTACAACCAGGCTGATAGAACCTCTGGAGAACGACTTTCTCACCATGCCAAGAGCTCATTCTGGAGTAGTGCGACGCCTTTTGCTGAATCTGCTCAACCGGAAGGTTTCGAGAAGACAGTCAGCTTCGCACGAGATGATTCAATACCTCCTTCAGAATGTTTTGCTTGGTTCAAGGTACCGAGCTTTCAACGATGGTGGAACAGACCGGAGTCATCGGACACATGTACATCCCACACGACAGATTCTGCTTGCAGGCTACAGAGCATTTTGCCTTCTCAAGTTTTGCTATCTTCATCGATCCGAACTTTGAGGAAGCCAGTGGTGACATGGTACACAGGTGCTTGTTACCGCGACATGACGTGTCCTACAGTTGATGACCTAATACATCCGACTTCTCCCTCTACAAGCATGCAAATATCATCCAGCACAAGGGAAAAGTCTATGAGTTGCTCATGCCGACCGATGCTGACATCTTTGTCACAACTTATCCGAAATTTTACCCAAGTTTCTTTCAGTTGGCTACAGTCAGTGCAATCGAACACAGTATTGTCGAGTTCCCCTGGAATTCGGGACGCTTTGTGTCCTTTTGTTGCAACCAGCACTGACATTGACCACTGCAGAGATCCAAATTGCTCCCGGACATCTTCAGGGCTTTTGTCACATATTCCAACAGGTATTGGCCAGTCTGCCAAACATGATGCTCTTACAGATGTTGTTTCGACACACCATCTCATACCTCATTTCTCGTGCCAGACAGAAGCAGGTGACCGTCCAGGAGCTTACGTTGAAAATTTTGGTGTACACAATACTCAACGGCTACAGCAAACCACTATATCCACAGGGGCTGTACCCGATCCAACCGCTTCGATTCCAGCACTAACGCATTTGACAATATCTCGCGGGGCTGTACCCGGCTACAACCTCAGATTTATGGACAAGGGAGTTTCACTGATGCCAGTCTTTAAGCAGTTCTTTTACAGTCAGGATGACAAAAGACGTTTATGCATCACTCAGTCTGATCATGGAGAGTTATGTGTGTTAACCCCAGACATGTCCAGCAGAGATGAACAGCCTTCAGATGATACAGACTTTGATCAAGTGGCGATGCAATGCTTCACAGATGATTTCCGCTTCTACCTCAACGCTTTGAGTTCCATTGGACCTCACGATGGTTATGCTAGTGCAGAGCTCACTAGCTTGCAATCTGAAGCGTCATCTTCACATCCAGACACTCAACACGACTGGATAGACAACGTGTCAGACACATATCCTGCGCCTTTACTGCCAGTTGATAACAGTGACGCCTGTGATCCACTTTTGGTCACAACTCAAAGGTCAATGCCCTCAGCGGATGGACCTGACCCAAACGTGCAGGATCTACGTCAACTACGATGTACCATATCCCGTGGGGCTGTACCCGTTTCCAACATCAATCTTTTCCGAATGCTCAGATTGGTTCAGATCACAGGAGACCGAGTACTTGAGCCTGCTCGACGAAATGATGATGAAGATTCATGGAAGGTACATTCACAGAGCAATTTAGAAGACCTTGACAATTTATTCGGGTTTGATTCCAGAACAATGGGAAGCGCATCAACAACTCTGCTGTATCAGAACAGTGATATTCCCACGAAAGTGGAACAGAGTGTTGATGGTCCTCTACCATTTCTTCGCCCGTCGACGGTGTCAATTTGTCATTGCGACGTTTCAGCATGCCCAGGCAATCCAGCTCACACCATTTTGGAGCCTGTTAATATCCTGCAAGACACCGCCGTTCGCTCTGTCAAGGATCAACTTCAGTTGCATCAAGAGATTTTACAATACACTACCTTTAGAGGGGCTGTACCCGATAACAACCGCCTACAGCTTATTTTTGATCTAAGTCCACAGCGATCCTTCTATAGTTGCCCATCACAGGTTGCTGTCGTAGACTATTCCACTGCATTGGTGGACCCCGCTGTCACAGAAGAGCTGTCACACTGCCACGGAGACCGCACCACCAGCCGGTGGACCGGTGATGTATACCACGCACAACCGCCGCAGGAGTCCCTGTGGCCCCTGACAGTTCTATCGCATGTTACCAATCCTATCTGGACGCAGCAGCTCCCTCAACAGCCATCCATCCTTGGCGGGGTCATCCGTGTCACTAACCATGCAATCCGTACGCCTTCTCAAATTTCGCTTCAGCTTGATGTCAATGGCGGACCAGATGGACAACTTCAACGACATATGACCATCTCTAGTGGGACTGTACCCAGTTACATCCTTGGTTCACATTGTTGTTCTTCCGCTGATCCCGTGGAAATCTATGGTCAAGAACACCTTTCAGTTGACATCGACAAAATCCTTTTCCCAACTTCACTATGTGATTGTGGCAATCTCCACTTGCTCAGAAACCCCCAAAGGGGTGGTTCTGATCGACTGGGTGTACCAAGACATCAGAACAATGATGTTGTCCACATTACGCCACAACAATCAGCCTTATCAGACGCATTTCGACCGATTGCCTCTGCCTGCAACAACCTGCGATCTTCATCCTTTCGAGGTTGGGGCGGAGCTATATATCGTGGAGGACATCCAGCATGGGGTAGATGTGAGATCATTCACATGGAGCCTAATCCGCCATTTGCCGAACGATGCGCAGCAGCCACACAAGACAACGGCTGGTTAGCCTCCGATGAGGCATTATGGTTTCTTCGTTTACTCAGTGACTGGAGATCTGATATTGCCATCGGACCAATCATTCAATGGAGCCCAAGCAGAGATCTCCAACATTTGATGGCAGCAGAAGACCAATTGCAATGCCATAATGGCCGGTTGAATATCCTTCTATTCTTGGTTGAAGCACACTGGTGTGCCATTGAAATTGATCGTAGAACTGAGCCTGTTCACGTAGTCCTCATTCAATGGCCGACAGAGCACCATACCATGGTCATTCTCGAGGTGTCTCGAATCCTGCAGATCCCATCACACCGAATGCTGGTGACGCTGGATGACAGCAATGAAGTGGTCACAATGTGCGGCTGGACAATCTTGTTCCGATGGTACACTAATTTTGCCATGCAGACCTGTCTTCAGCCATTAATTCACGCCAATGAACAGAACCAGATTCGTATCGATACTGTCATCCATCGGGCACAACGTCAATGGGACCGCACAAATGCATCCACTCGTCTTCGACGTTTTGCTGTTGAGTGCCGAAGAGCATTTATGTCAGCTTATGCTCGAGACCAACCGGACACCCGACTGCCGAACTCGGTTTCGACCGTCATGTTTGTAGGTCCTCAGGAGGATTATGTCCAAGAGGTGAGTCAGGTACCACGACCGCCCACACACCGAGAAAGAGAGATTAACTGGCTACGTAATATGCTCATTCAGCCAGCTTGGCTGACTAATTTCGAGGTAGAATTGGTGTTGCAAACAACAAGAATGCAAATCCTTGACCGTTTCCTGCCTGGCCCACTTCACTTTGATCCAGTTACAGGTCAGCTTGAATCGTTTGTCAATGATCTCCCAAGTGTAGCAGGCTATACAAAAGTGCTGTTCTTTGTTACGCTTAACTACCATTGGATTTCTATATCTGGTATGCAGCACCAAAACCGATGGATGTTAACAGCCGTTGTGCCTGACCCTAAAAGCCGTGACCTGTCGTCTTTGTTCGCTGCAATTGCCACTCTTTTAGAGACATCCCCAGACCGGGTCCATATACAGGCACTCCAAATGCATACGCCGCCTTACCTGTGCGGATGGATCCTGCTTCAGTCATTGCAAGAGCAAAGTCAGATCTCATTCATCCATGATGCAACAGTGCTCCTCCAACGCATTGCAGTTATGCCGAACTCGCGAATCAAGACTCTTATCTTCGAGGAGGCACTGGGGACCTGGACACGACATGCCACACATCAAAGCCTGGTAACTTTTGCCACGCAAGTTCGGACCTATTTCTTAGCACACATAGACACATGGAGTTCTCATCATATACTTCGATTCGGAGGTATGTTCCCAACACCTGTGTCACAACCAGTCCAAGCATCGTGGAATGTCATTTCTTGTGAAACAAAGTCTAAGATTCTTCACAAGATCAAAAATCATGTCCCACGACCCTCTGTGTGTTCATGTGTCCAACGACTAACAGCCTACATCGAGATTGACAG